ACTAACTGACTCTAGAGCCCAGAGTAAATTAAAGCCCAAAGTAAGGAGTATCTAACCCTGCATGCACCTCAGGTCTGTAAGCAGAGGCTCCCTCTGTCGAAAAATTTGTTCCTACTTGAAACTAAGGATCCTATCCATAACCCAAACATCTCCTACAAAAAGCCTCCTGTTTAACAATTCCCAGATGTCAGATCCTTTCCTCAAAGACAAAGAGCCTTTGTACATCATTTGGGGCCAGGCAAGTATTCTTCACATTCAGGGAAGGTCAGTCTGGCAAACCAGAGGTATTTTTATGTCTAAGCATACGGTCTGTTTTGTTTGGTGGACCTCTATTGTTTTACAACCTCCATTTTGAATGTAACCTTCAGTGCTGATTAGTGATTTCATTTTGTAGCAGATAGTTGACACTTGGTAGACAGTGTCTGAGAAATTGTGGCAGAGCATGCAATGGCCATCAACAATTAATGACTCTTCCCTACTGGAACAATGGGCATTTGATTTTATGCACTGGAGTACTGGATAGAAGGGAAGGGAGACTGGACTTCCGCACAGATTATACTAATAAAGGAATGGGGTATTAGACTATGGTTTAAAAGGGGTCTCTCTAAGCATGACAGGCTAACCAATGCCCAGCCAAGCATGCAGAACGAGTTGCCTGCCCAAAGAACTTGAACCAAACTACAGTACTATGGTAGAGAAATCAAATTTAAGGAAATTATGTCCAGTACTTGGTTCTTGTCTCAAGATCTGTAATTATCTTCTTTTTGTTTAAGGGCAAGGTATCTGTGGTTAAAAGATTTCTTTGACAAATCTGTATTCCTTGCATTACTGCCACATAGTCTCCGAGGGTGCATCTACACTGCACCCTTAGCTTGAAATAATCTATGCAATTTGAGCTATGCAAATTGCGTGGCTTATTTTGAATTAATTTCTAAATAGCTTGAACCACTATTCTGAAACATCCCTTAATCCTCATGGAACAAGGTTTACAGGAATGCTGGAATAGTGAGTCTGTTATTTTGAAAGCTATTTTGAAATAACGGGCCTGATATCAAGATGCAGAATAGCTATTTCAGGATACCAGAAGTATCGCAAAATAGTGCCACAGTGTAGACCAGGGATGGGCAAAAGTGTCAGGTTGATCCAGCCCGCGGGGGCCCTGCCGCTCCCCCGCCCCAGGCCAATTAGGGCCTGGAGGTGGGGGAACGTGCAAAACTTCCTCCTGCTCTGGCAGGACCACTTTGAAGCTCCGTGCTTTGAAGCTCCGCGCGCTCCTCACAGGGCAGAAAGAGACGTTACGTGCTCCCCTTCCCCCAAGCTCTGATTGGCCTGGGGGCGGGAGGAGCGTGCAAAGTTTCCTCCGCCCTCCCCCCACCCTGCAAGGAGCGCACAGCACTTCAATGTGCTACGTGCTCTTCGCAGGGTGGGAGGAGGCTTCACGTGCTCCTCTGCCCCAGACCCTGATGGGGTACCTAGTGGGAAGGGGGGGCAAAGGGGCTCCTGCATAATCTGTGGGTGGGGCAGCCCAGAATCATCCGGGCCCCACCCCTTCTGGTTTAGGCCCCACCCCTTCAGGGACAGCCCTTTTTTGAAGTGGCCCCTGGCCAAAAATTATTGCTCACCCCTGGTGTAGACGTACTCTAAAAATTGTAACTAGAATGTAAGCACTTTCACTGCTAGGTATATTCAGGAAAAATGTGTCTAAGCCTCAGGAGGCTTGTAGGGCTGTGGCACTAGTTCTCGGGTTTAAGTAGGTGGATTGCTGAGTCCCATTGCCCAGCTATGATATAAAACACTGACACAGAATCTGTACAAGAGAATGTTCCTGAGATTCACAGTTAGGAAAAGTCACTAACGAGGCTCAGAAGACTTAGAAGCTCATGGGATTCAGGGTTTGATCCAATCACAACATACTTCATCCAGTGAACAGGATTGGACCCAATTGTGACACCCAATAAACCCTTCTGTCCCTTTCTGGCATGAGGTATGGACACCCAAAAGCATTTTTAATTCCTCCTATGGGGTCAACCTGTGCTGACCAGTCATTCATTTTCAGGTGGAGATGGAGATGAGATGTTCTGTAAAGAACCCCCTCCTTTTTGGTTGTTCCTTATCTACTTTTGATGCAGACAGTGCTCCCACTACTACAATATATGGTATCATCAGATAACTTCATTCTTTGTTTCATTGAAGAGGTTTATCTGCCCATTCTGAAAATAAAAAGAAAGGTGCACTTATTTTGTTTGGCACATTAGCCTACAAGTCAAAGCTGTAAAATATGTTTTAATTAAACATTCATATTCTTCCAATATTAATTCAGGTTAGAAACTTATATAACTAGTCTCAAATTGAGCTCTGATGCTGTTGGTGTCATGAAAAAATAGTATTTCTCACTAGGATTATGTCAAGCAACAATAGATGCAGAGTAGTGATGTGACTGGTTAACAAGGTGATGATTACTAGTTACAGTTAAATGGTGGCTGGGCTGGAGCATCTCCCTGTCTGCCCTCAATGCAGTGGACCTGGCTCAGACAGAGCAACTCACCACACCGTTGGTGCTCCAGCCCTGCTGGAGCAGCCCCTGCCTGAGACAAGGGCCGCTCCAGCCTGGCCCTTCTCCTTCCTTCTCCCATTTAAGTAGTTAACCAGCTAAATATAACGTTTAACTGGTTCATTGATTAAACAGGATTTTACATCCCTAATGCAGAGTTACTAACATCCACAAAAGATCTGGGCCCAATCTGTCAAAGAGTTATATTTGTGCAACCTTTCTCCCTTCAATGAGGTTGCAAGCAATAGGGGAGAAAAATGAGAACTTCAAGTTTAATGCATTTCACATTTTAACTTGATGAGTGTTATTTTCCTTTGAGGTGAATGTTCACAGAGTAACAAAGAGAATAGAAAGGAAAAAGCACTTATGGAAGTATCATATAGGAGGATGCTCGAGTATGGCTATATCCTGATTGGGAAAAAAACAGTTCTTCAATAGCTCAAAATAAACCTGATGATAAACCATGGGGCATTGTGTTCTATTTTACCTCTTTTGAACTGCTGTTGACTCCTCAGGCTAGCCATGACCTCTTAAGAATAAGCCACTATTCAAGTTTCAGCAAAATGATTTAAATCAAATCCACCCTGTCTGGCACTTTTCCCCTTTCCCAGACAGGGTGGATTTGATTTAAATAGGGGGGCCAGTATAGATGCTGTTAACTCAGGATTTACCTTGAACAATTCTGCATTCAAGTTATTGTGGCCAGGAGTTTTCTCATTATTCAAGGATTTGATGATGGTCTCTTCCTTTGCTGGGCTGTCTGTGTTGATATCAAGATCTTCCTCTGCCTTGTCTATATTTGGTTCCTCTTTAGGTGCTTCCCTAATCAGAAATTATTTGAAATACTCTGTCCAGAGCATGTCTTGTTCTTTTTTGTTGTCAGTAGATTCCCTTGTTTGTCCCGGATAAGAGTGTTTGTTGGTTTCTGCTGTTTACCACTGATAAGATGCATCATTTTGTAGATGCTTATCAGATAGTCAACATACTAGTAGACTAGTCTCTTTCCCCCACTTGATGCCTCTATCAGAAAGAGGCAGCAAGGGGGAGGAGGGAAGGAGGGAGTGCTTCAAAGCAGCAGTGCTGTGTGGAGCCTGAAACCAGACCCTGGGCTCCACAAGGTACTAACGCTTTGAATGCCGCGTGCAGCTTGGGGCCAGCTGGGGAGAACTTCCTCATCACTGTAATTTCTCAGGGCATAGCACTGATTCAGAGTGATATTATTGTGTTTCCCTTTTCATCAGTCTGGCTCTCATAAGTCTGCTGCTGAGGGACTTCCACTCAATGCCACTTCATTTTAAAAAGGATGGCAACACCCTTATAGCACTGTCCATCATGCTGTCCATAATACAGCAAAATTTCTCCAGAGGCTTTTGTTTATCTTCCAGATCCTGCCCATCTGTTTTTGCTGACATCCAGGATGTATAAGCTGTAGTGTCTCATCTCTGCTATGACCTGAGCTAGCTTCCCTGTTTTGAACATTGTAGGTACATTCCAAAAACCAAGTTTGGTTTTTGTTTTGGTGTTGAGCACTTCAGTCTTCATGTCAATGGCTTCCTTTCAGCTTTACCCATTGGCAGCCAAACAGGTCATTGATTCTTGACAGCCACTACATATAGTAATGGTTAATATCTCCAGTTAATATCTCATAGTCACATCTTTTATTTTTGACAGGGCAAGGTTGTTCACCCTGTGCCTAACACCCAACCTGGAAGAGCAGGGTGTCTATTTTGTCTGGCCTCTCCACCACATACTGATCCGATATGGTTGAACCTGCCAGGAGCAAAAAGCCCCCCACTGACATGGACTCTAGGCATCGTTAGAGCATGCAAGCAGTCCTGCCATAAGGCATGGACCTCAGAAGACACCTATTCCATAATGAGAGGTATTAAAATTTCTTCATTACTACTAGCACACAGCCCTCAACACTGGCTATCATAGATATGTGCCTCCTGTTTCCACGTCTCACTTAGTTCATGTGATTACATTATGAATATCTCTTATTTAAATAAACATTGATCTATGTGAACAAAACTTGAAGGTTGAACTTCTTGAGTTTCAATACTATTCTGAAAATCTCATATTTATCTCTTAATATCCTTTTTAAATAAACATTACTGATTACCCCAAAATAAAAATTAATATATGAGAGATCAAATTCAGTTATTTTTATTTAAGAACCTATGTCGATTTAACAGTTGTGAAAATACATAGAAATATAAAACTTTCCATATTTAAACATTGTTCCATCTAGACCAGCATCCTATCTTTGGCAGTGACCAGTACCAGCTCAGTAAGAAAACGGCGAGAAAAACCGTGCATTAAAAAAAAATCAAAGGGTAATAATTTTTAGCCATTACTGAACTGGATTAGATTCAAAGTGGCAAACTTGTGGCAAAGAGCTCTCTATTTTCCATAACCAACCAGAAATAAGTCAAATGAAATATAAATCTACTTCCCAAAGTGATTGCTAGTTTTATTTGGGTTATATTTTACTCAAACAGTTGACTTCAGTAAACTCAGTGGCACCTCAAAACTAGAAATTGGTTTTCATGCTCTGATTGGTCAGCAGTTTATTCCAGTTAATGATAGTCCGAGTGACTGGGAGCTGCCTTCGTAGAGTTTTTCTCCAGATTTCATCTGTCAAAGCCTGGAAGTTTTCTAACATGGCAAGGTGAAATTTGTTGTCTTCAGTTTCTATGAGTTTCACAAAATCTATGGCCAACTGGGCTGGGTCAATTACATGTAAGGTCTCTTCAACAGTTTTGCAGGCTGTCATGTGGAGGTTAGCATCTTTAAAGTAGTGTAATTGCAGATTAATGGTCCCTGTAACCTGAGTAATAACTGGAATCTGGGAAAAAATCCATTTACCTCTCCAAAGACCATTCCAGAAGCCCAAAGGTGTGTACTGATGACCTGAAATACAGGCCACAAATATGTGACTGTTTTTCAGGGTTTTTTTAAACACATTGCAATCCCCTGAAGGAAAGTGACTATCCACGTATGCCTTTAGAGCACTGCTTAGGGCTATTCTCCATAATTCTGCTTCATCCCACGCGACACTATGAAGCTGAAATTTGCTTGATATTCCACTCAAGTGATCAAATTTGAAAGAAAATTTGTTTTTTGGGTCAAAAAAACGACTTCCTCCTAGGTCATTGTAGCGTGTCACCAGTACATTGGTTCCTTCTATTCTGACTGAAGTGAAATTGTTCTTATTGTAATGGGCACAGACTTGGGCTGCCTCTTGCCTCATCAAGTCATCATCCTGGACCAGAATACAGAGATCTTCAAAAACACTGTAGAATTCACCTGGGGGTGCTTGAGACAGAAGACGGCATATGACCTGCACTTTCTCTTCCTTAGACAAATCACATTTGTTGGACATGGTGTTTTATTTCTGTGGTGGTAAACCTGAAATGAAAGCATGAATAATATACTAACTTGGAAACCGTAATTAAAAAGTATTTCAGAACACCTGAAGATGTCAAGGCAAACAGGGTTTGTGAACTTTGTGTGCTCTAACATTGTATTTGGAAAGATCTAGAAATATTAGTGAGATCATAATAAAATAATTCAGTAGAGTTAGAGCTTTTGGAAAAAAAATGTTGCAGTGGAAAATATTCACTGGCAGCACAAGAAAAACAAATTATATGAAGCTATGAAAGTGTTTACATTGTCCTATGAAAGATGACTAGGGATCCACATCTTACGATACCAGAATGAAAACTCAACATACATGTTTTAGGTAACTAGAAACATACTCAGAGAAGATACAACATATTTGATATAGCAACAATAAAATAAAATGACTGGAAAATAATTGTGATAGAACAATAAAAATGTCCACCATGGAAAGCTCAAAAACTCTTAATGATGTAACAGTTTTCTAATATAGCCCTAAAGAAATATAAAGCTGCTGAAGGGAGAACAGGTACAAGGGAGTTCCAGACAGATGTAGAGCAGTGGTTCCCAAAGCTTTATTAGTTCACCAACCACTTTCTCAGAGGGGTAGCCGTGTCAGTCTGTAACTAAAAATATCTTAAAAAAGGAATGGTCCTGTAGTACCTATGGGCACTCTAGACAGCAGAGCAAAAGTTGAATTAAGATACGCAACTTCAGCTATACCAATTGTGTAGCTGAAGTCAAAATAGCTTAATTTGGCCTTTGGCGCTGTCTACACAGTAGGAAGTGGAAGAAAGAACACTCTTCCTTCACCTTCCCTTACTCCTCCTGGAATGAGGGTTCCAGGAGTTGGAGTAACAAGTCCTCCAGCTTGATATTATTTTGAAATAATGGCTTGCTGTGTAGATGCACATGTTGCTATTTGGAAATGTCAGTTATTCCCTAATGACGCTGCCGGGTAGATGTACCCTTAGAAACTAACCAAAAAATCTAGATAGTATCATGAGCTTTCATGGGCAAACCCCACTTTTTGTCATCTGAAGAAGTGGGTTGTGCCCACCAACGCTCATGATACCATTTATATTTTTTAGTTAGTCTCTAAGGTGCTACGGGACCATTCCTAGTTCTTTAAGGGTTTTTTTTTTCACTTTCTCAGAGACTTGTGAGGACATGGGCCACATACTAGCTCGGGGGTACCTATCTCTCTTGACTCCCTGCTCACCCAACCCCTAAGCTAGGGCACATGCAGGGGGTGGAAACAACCAGGCTGCACATGACCCTTGGCCTGGTTCAGTGGGATGAGGAGGGGGGAGTAACCCCTGGTGGCCAGACTGGGGCTTCTGGCGGGCGGGGCGAGGAGGGCACTGCCGGCTACAGACATGAAGAACAGCAGGACGGGCCCTGCGGCTGGGACGATTGAGAAGCCCGGGCCACGTGGTCAGGAGGACACGAGGCCACACGCGATGGAACCCTCCTCTCGGAACAAGCGGCTCCGGCAGCCCCATAGCGACAAGCGCAACACCAGAAGCTCCCTCCTTTTCCAAGTCAGCAGCCATTAAATGTGATTAAAACAGATTTCTGAAAATGGGACACGTGTACACACACACCCCAGGTAGAATAGGAAAAGCAACTGGAAGATATGGTGAAAACTCTCAGGGGGTAACCATATAAGTCTGTGTCTGCAAAAACAATGAGGAGTCCTACAGCACTTTACAGTAATAGATTTATTAAGGGATAAGTTTTCATGGGTAAAACCCACTTCATCAGATGAATTGGAATGGAACTTACAGAAGCAGCAGTGTATATAATGAAGAAGTTGCTTATGGTTAATGAAGCTAATCAAATCAGGGCAGAAGTGGGTCATTCATAGCATTTGGTCTGGAGAGGTGAATATTTAGAAAAAGGGGAAGAAAGAGTTACTCACCTTGTGCAGTAACGGTGGTTCTTTGAGATGTGTCCCCGTGGGTGCTCCACTCTGGGATTCTGGTGGTACTTGTTTTGCAGCCACCCCCCCCCGATTGTATTGCAAATCCCTGACGATTTCTAAGCCACCCTGATTAATAACCCCAGAGCTTCATTGCCACTGAGCCTTGTGCCCCCCCCGCCCATTATTCAGTTCCCGCCTCCCCCTTGCTTCTACGCGAAGCCCCTCTTCTGCCCTTACAGTTTCCCTCCTCCACCCTGCTTTCTTTCAGCCCTTAATTTCCCCCTCTTCGCATTAAGCCCTTCTTCCTGGTCACATTTACTACCATGGGCTGTCTTAAATCCTCCTTTCTCAAAGGGTCCTGCCATTTCAGAACCTTTATTGTTTCTAGGGCTCTACCAAACTCCAGGCACCATTTTTTGTCAATTTCACCATCATAGGGTTTTAAAAATAGCGCCTTTCCTTATTGCAGCGATTTAAACTTGTCATTGCTTAGTGTTGTAGTTGTAGGCGTCCTGACCAAGAAAGGAATGTTGTGTGTGTGTGTGTCTTGCAAGGTTTATGTAATGGGGGGTTGCAGTTCTGCTACCCTTGCGTCTGCACTGCTGCAGCAGTGGTGTTGCCTTCAGAGCCAGGCAGCTGGAGAGTGGCAGCTGCTGGCCAAGAACCCAGTTTTAAAGGGAGACACACTGCCAGCAGCACAGCAGGAGTCAGGATGGCATGTTATGGTATTGCTGCTTTTACCTCTGCATTGCTGCCTGCAGAGGTGGGCCCTCAGCAGTTGTCACTCCCTGGCTGCTCAACTCTGAAGGCATCAGCACAGAAAAGGTGCCATGATATAGTGTAGTCACCAGAACTGGGTGCCTAGCCAACTGCCACCACTTTCTGACCATCCAGCTCTGAATGTAGCGCAGAAATAAGGGTGACAATACCATGACTTGCCAAAAATAGCCTCATGACTTCCCTGTAATTCCCTTTTGAGTCAGGACCCCCAGATTGAGAAACAGTGTTCTCTCCCCCTTCCCAGATTTCAGGCTATGACATATTTTTTATAGTTGTGAATTTTTGGTAAGGCCATAATTATTCCTTTTCGCTTTTCTTCCCTTTAGGCTGCTCTTCATCCTCCGGTACCCCTTTACCCCAGAGTTGTAATAAAATAAATAACTGAAATATTTTTCAGTTAGTTATTTGGAACCAGAGATGGAGAAAATGTAATTGTAGAAAAATAGCTAATCTGTTTGGTTTAAAAATCAAGCATGTTTTCCCATAAAAAGCTATTTTAATGTGTTATATGTTTCCTTAACATGTCTTCCTTTACGTGGATTTTGTCCATCATTCAGGATGAGTTTGGAAGCGGAAGGATTAATTTAGATAGGACAGCAAAGTTACTTCTCAAGCTATGCATTCCTTTTGATGTAGCTCATGTAGAATATGTTTTTAAGGTGAGAAAATAGCCATGTATTGAGGTTTTTTTGGGGGGAAAAGAATTTTTTGTTAAATAATCCAAATTAATGGCTGAGTGCAGGGCTATCTCTGTCAATACTGGTGCCTTGTGAACCCCACCCAGCATGTGGGAGGAGGTAGGTTGTGGTGCAGAAATTGTGGGAAGAAGGGGTAAGGTTACCAACTCAGCTGGATGCCATTGCTGCAAATGTCATTCAGTCTGTCTAGTTGGGAGAGTTGGCAACCCTAGGCAGGAGCCTGGAAAGGTTGGAGACTCACCTGATAGCCTCAGGGGAGCAGGAAGGAGGTGTGGGTGGTGTGAGAACAGGCTGGAAGAGCAGAGATAGCTGTCCAGATTGCCTGAGAAGTAGGGCTTTGAAGGGAAATCTGCTGATTCTCCCCAGCTTCCAACAGCGCAGTCACCCTCTTCTCCTTCTGAGTCCTCCAGCCTGTACTCACACCTCTCCCTACTACCTGGTGAGCAGAGGCTGGGCACAGCCCACGGTTGGAGGGGGTATGAGGACTGTCTGGGGGATGGGCTGGATGCAGGAGCTGTTGTAGAGACTACAGGTGAGGGAGGGCACTGAAAACTATACACAATACCAGGGCTGGGCAAAATACGGCCTGCGGGCCAGATGTGGCTTTCCGAGCCACTGGATCTGGCCCACAGATGCAGCAGGGAGCTCCAGACAGGCTCTCTGCTTGCCTTTTCCCACCTGCACGCTGCTCAGAAAAGTGGCTGCCAGACCATTTCTCTTTCACCACTGAGAACCCAGAGAGAAAGGGGGGAAGGTTTCATGATCTGCCCCCCCCTCAGCACAATCCTGGCCAATGGGAGCTGCCTGTTCTTCAAACAGGCAGCATATGAAGCACTATTCCCCCCTCCCTCCGGCTCATAGTTATTCACACATGCTCGTGGCTCCTGCAGCATGTGCAGGGGTGGGACATGCAGGGAGACTGCCTCAGAAATGTGCTGGACTGCAGCTGGCAGTCACCCAGGTAAGTCTCCTGGCCAGAGCCTGCCTTTGGCACTCCAGGCCCCCACCCCTCTGCCCCCCACTCCTGCACCTGTATCCCCTCCTAGAACCTGCAACCCAATCCTCTGCCCCAGGTCACAACCCCCTCCTGTCCTTAGGTCCCATCAAAACCCTGGCACCCCAGTCCCCTGCCCTAGGTCACAACCCAAACTCCTGCACCCCAGTCCAGTGCCCCAGGTCACAACTACTTCCTTCACCCAAACGCCCTCCCAGGCCCCACACTCCCTCTTGCACTCTAATCCCTTATCCTAAGGTCTCTTCTGCACCCAACCTCCATCCCAGATCCTGCACATTCTCCATTAATACAATGGCAGAGTGCGGCCCTTGACCAATTTCCAAAATTTTGGAGTGGCCCCCCATCAGAAATTATTGCCCAACCCTGCACAATGCCCAGTTGCATATGGTGCCATGAAATTCATGGTGCCCTAAGCAGCTGTGTTTTGTATATTGGTAAGGATGGCCTTGACCAAATGGACAAAAGTCCTTTATTTATCTAGCATGGCTATATCTCATAGGCAGCAATAATGCAATATCTTACTGCCTCTTCAACATGTTTTGGAATAGGTCATCCTTAGATGGTGGTAGAGGGACTCGATTTACATAACTCTAATGAAACTAAAAAGAGTATTGGTTTTGTGATGTTTACATCTTACTACAAGGAACTGGGTTAATTACCAAATTAATTTAACAGAAGCCACTAATCAGCCACCAGGTGGCAAAGGGTTTGCTGCAGTCAAATTCAACTATCAGCAGTCAGGTTTGTGTTAGTTGTTATTACAAGAATAATAATGATTTCAAATAGAAGGGGACAATGGTTTTAAAATAGCACTTATATGTCTCTAGTTTTAAAATAGCACTGAAAGGCAGATAGATTCCTTTGTAGATTGGTAGATAATATCAAATTCCAAACAGATTGATCCGATTCAATTGGAGGATAATCAACATTGAAACCATTGTACTAAAAAAAATCTCTTCCTATTTCTATGCTTTCCTACTCTATGAAAAGTTTATAGAAATAATGTGACCATTCTTTTGATAAAGTGGACATTTTGTAGAACTGAAAATGTATATCAGTATTGGTGTACACTCATTGTAACTTTATGTTTATGTGACACTTGTGCTGTTGCATTCATTTCATTTCATTTAAGTTGCTGACTTTGTTGTATATGGTCGTATGTAGCTTGGCTCCCAGATACCTGAAGATTGACTTCTCAAATCATAGCACCACCATGATAGTTCAGGTTAACTAAGGTGTTCAGAATAATAGTCTTCAGATTTAAATAGAAAGGTTGTTGGCAGGGCATTTTTGATGGAGGACTTGCAACTTGAATTTGAAGTAGTCGGGCAAAGGCCAAGCCTGCTGACCCTTTGGCCCACGACCCACCCTTATTTTGGTCTCTCTTAGAAGTTTGCAGATTTTGTGTTTATTCTTTTTATGGACTTTCAATTACGTTGTTTTTGGACAGAAATTTTAGGTGAATTACGGTAGACTAAAAAAAGAATAATTACTTGAGGGAGTGACCTGTGTAGAAAAGGCATGATCTATTTGGACACAGTATTCTTTGAGAGAGAGTTGAGGGGGTATGGCTATATAGTTAATTCTGTATGAAAGACACATATGCAGGTCTTTTACCAACATGCTTACTGCTTTTCTTTTTCTTTCCTTTTTAATTTAAATGTCTATCTAATTATTTTAGGTAATATAAGAAAAAGGGGAGATTAAGGTTTGTTAAAGAATAATACGTTTTCTGAAGCTTTTTAATTTCATCAGGAAAGTCTTTTATTAAACTTACAACATTTTCTGATTAGCAAAGAGTTGAGGTGTATTAATAAAATTAAAGATATAATAAGGAGCTATACACATACATAGAAATCTATAGTTTGCAGCACTGTTATAGCCATGCCAGTCACAGGATATTAGAGAGATATGTTGGGTAAAGTAATATTTTTTATTGGAACAACTTTTGGTGGTAAGAGAGACGAGCTTGCACATATCTGAAGAAGTTTCTGTAATTGTAAAACTAGTCTCTTTCACAACATAAATGGATCTAGTAAAAGATGTTACTTCATCCATTTGTGTCTCATATAATTATGTAATAATACTTCTGTCTTGGTTCTTATATGGCCTCCATTACAGGCAGTCCCCGAGTTACGCGGATCCGACTTACGTCGGATCCGCGGTTACGAACGGGGCACTTCCTCTCCCTGGTCTCGAGCAGACCAGGGAGAGGAAGCAAAGCGGCGGAACGCGCGGCCAGCTGACAGCCCAGACGC